TCCATGCAATTGATCTGACTTATCATGTTGGATGTTACTAAGATGCTTGCACAGAAATGTGTGACCCTCTGTACTGAGCTGGTTGTTATTGTTGTTGCAGGGCATTTGAACATAAGGGGACTTAAGTGTTTCTCATTCAGGGGTTCACCATAAGTCAAAGTTGGCCTGATGACCATTAACAACAGCAATAACAATGGAATGAACACCCAACTTGTATGGAAGCCAACAGTTGCCACTGGTCATGCTGACTCTTGGTCTTCCACACTATCTTTGCAAACACATCCTGCGCCATTTCCTGCAATCCAAGTGCAGGGAGATGTTTGGTGGCTTTATTTGTTTAAAACTAGCTAAACGTTCTTCACCTTATCCCTGCAACTCTTTTCTCTCTCTCTCTCTTTTTCAGCGTTCTCCTCCCATGTTTGCAGAGATGGTGATGAATTTAAAGAAGATTATTAAATGTTGCACCCTTGATTTCCAGTGCGTTTGACTTTTAGCTTAAGCTCAAAAATATTTGGGGTCTTTAGAGCAATAATGAGACTATTTTCTTTAGCCACACGCTAAAACGATTTGTACGCACTCGAAATAAATCTCTCCCCAGAAAGGTAGGCAAATATTGAAAGACGTAATGAAAGGGGAAAGCCAGCAGGCAGAAGGAAACACACATGCACATGGACACACACACCTATTTTAAATCTTTCAAATTACTTCCCTTCTCCCTCTCATTAGTAAATATTTTAGTTAGTTTCCTTGAGCAAATCTTCTTGGCTCGAAGTTTTTCTTTTCCATCTCCCTCATCTCTGGATACCGTTTCTCCTTCATTAGAGCTCTTCCTTCCCGCCTCCTTCTTAACTGGTCATAAATCCAATTTCTTTCTCCATCCGTTAGTTTAAAACTAAATGGAGAAAATAATGAAGAGTACTAGTTTATAATCGCCTTAAAGCCAACCAACTGTCTTCCACCTAAGGCAAGAAAAAGACCTGAAGAAAGAGGTTTTAGCCTCCTGTTTGGTGCCCTAAAGGACAGGCCTTTAGGGTAGACATCTGAGACCAAAATGAAAAGAAGGACACACAAACACACACAGCTTTCCGTGCAAACTGATCTGACTCAACATTTTGGATATTACTGTGATGCTTGCACAGAAATGTATGGCCCTCTGTTGTGACCTTGTTGTTGTTGTTGTTGTTGTTGTTGTTGTTGCATGCCTTCAAGTCATTTCTGACTCATGGAGACCCTAAGGCAAACTTATTGTGGGGTCTTCTTGGGAAGATTTGTTCCAAGGAGGTTTGCCATGACCTTCCCCTGAGGCTGAGAGAGTGTGACTTGCCCAAGGTCAATCAGCTCGAAGAGGAAATTGAACCCTGGTCTCCAGAATCACAATCCAACACTCAAACCACTAAGCAACAACTTTTTATTATTAGTAGTAGTAGTAGCAGTAATAGTTTGGGACTCAAGGCAGTGTACAACACTTAAAACAAACATAGCTAAGAATTCACAACATACAGATACCATTAAAATAAGTCCAGTTAAAAGCATCTGCAAACAAGCCAACAAAAAGTTTTAAAAAGCCATCGTTAAAATAAAAAGCGATTGCTAAAAACCAATTAAGCATATAAAAATGCTTGTCGAGATACAATTAAACAGTCCCTATGATTAAAACCTTTTAAAAACCAACCCATTAAAAGACAGGGGATAAAAAAAAATCACCAAAATAGCCCAGCATTAAATATCCTTGCACTCCAATAATGATCCCTTTTATCAGTGGGAAAAGCTCATTTCTCTGAAAAAGGACAGTTCTCAAAAGTCTTCTGGAACAGAAACACTAAAATGGCTGTTAATATTTGGCCATGTTGCAGAGAAGGGCTGCATCTACACTGCAGAATTGACCCAGTTTGACACTGCTTTAACTGCCATGGCTCAGTGCTATAGAATTCTGGAATTTGTAGCTTGGTGAGATATTTAACCTTCTTTGGCAGAGAACACTGGTGCCACCACAAACTACAAATCCCAGGATCCCATAGGATGGAGCCACGGAAGTTAAAGGAGTGTCAAACAGCATTAATTCTGCAATGTAGATGCAACTCCCATTATATATCATGGGATAGAAAAATGGTGTAAAATCCATCATCAGCATCGTTCTTGGCATCATCCCATTTTGAGCTAAGGCCAACCTGAAATGCATTTTCTGTCCTACAGCTACAAATAGTAGGGGAACAAAAACTATATAACTTTCCAAATTTGCTTGCAGGTAAGCATCTCTTTACTCTCCTCCTCTCTCCACTATGCAGAAAGGCGGGGAAGACTTTATGGGATAGAGCGACAGGAACAATTTCCCCATGACAGTGGTAATTGGAGAATTTACATTTTATTTTATTTTATTTTATTTTATTTTATTTTATTTTATTTTATTTTTGACACCGTCAACAGCTCTCTGAGGCTGCCTTCTCTTACAAACAGAAGAGACACTTGTCATTCTGGTGCAAGTAGATAAGGGAAATGCCAGGAGTTATTTGAAATGTAAAATATTTTTTTTAGCTGCTTCTCTCTCTCTCTCTTTTTTTTTTTTTTAAAAAAAAAAATTCTTTGATTGTTATGAAAGCAATGAGCGCTGTGAACTCTGATGGAAGGAAGGAGGTAAAAATAAAATACAAAAAAATTAAAACAGTACATGGTTGCAAAGGCACAGCTCTTAAATGCAGAACCTACTATCCTGCAAAGAAAAGCAAAATTTCATATTTTCCCCTCACTGCTTTTTGCATGGTGTTTCTAGTCCTTATTAACACTTTGTGGTGTCATGAAAGAAGTCAGGCACTGCCTACGACCGTAATAAAGATGAACTGAACAGAGCTGTCCATAAAACCAAGATAATCCTAATCCTAAACCTAAATTATGTATAATGTTTGCTTCAGGATGAAAATCCCAACCAGCCAAATTATGCTGGATTTGCTTTTTGCCCAGGATATAATCTTCATGGTGCAACAATAAGAATATGAGGATTAGTTGTGCAAAAAACTGGCAGATGCTATCCTTGTCCAAGCTGTTCTTGTGCATGCATCTGAGCAAGTAGATCGACTGCCTCGGCAGACGACTAATAGAGTCATCTTCCGGGCAGGGAAGAGGAGGGGCAGCCGCACGTTCGGCGCCCCTTCCTCTCCCTGAGGTCACCCCTTGAAGCGCCGGCCATCCGCACGGCCGGCGCTTCCAAGGCAACCTCCCTCCGCAGCGACCGGACGCGCTGCGGAGGATAAGTCAGGGAAAGTGCGCCCTATGCTTTTAGGGTGCACTTTCCCTGACTTATGAAAGGAGCGCCAATTTGGCGCTCCTTTCAGGGACGCTGTTGGAGCACCACGGTGGGGCTGCCATGGCCCCGCGGCGCTCCTGACCAGGGCGTCCTGGACGCCCTGGTCTGCATCCCCCCCAAGTCTACGAAAGCTCATGCTACCAACTTCTTTCTTTCAACTACTCTCAAAAGTGCTAAAAGAGCCCTTTACATACTTGTACAAGGTATAAGATCACAGCAGAATTTTTCACGGTTCAAGACTAATTCTGTGCAAAATTCACATGCGGCTGTTTTGCACAGTAAATGGCATTTTCAGCCCAGGAAATGCCATTTCTATGCCAAAACATTATATTTTGTGCAGGAAAAAATATATATGCTGTTTTACACACCAAAGATATTTGCAATGGGGGACATATTCTATGCAAAATAGATCAAGTCTACTTGTGCAAATCACAATGGTGATTTGCACAAAACACCCCAGCAGATCACTTTTCTGAGTAGGAAGTCCTATTTCTGCATAGAAATAGCATCTCCTGAGCAGAAAATGCCATCGTCTGCACAGAAAATTCTGTTTTCTGTCCAAAACAACTGCAGGTGAATTTCTTGTCCAAAATTATGAACAAACTTCAAAAACAGTGCAATTTTCTAAGATTTTCTCACAGGAGGATGAAAATTGCTAGCATTACTTGTTGCCTCCTTCAAGAGGGAAACCAGTGAAAATTTGCATCCCTAATCCTAACAGAACAATCTTATACAGATCTAGAACAGAGTTCTAGCAAGTTCAGGAGGACTTAATCTCAAGGAGGGGAGTACAATGTTGCAATCTAACCTCCCTCAAACCCTTCCATGAACTTTCCATTGGAAGACTTGTCAGTTCTCTGCAAGCTGGCAGGAAATAGCTTCATTCAGCAATATTTATTTATTGTTCCTCACACCCTGACCTTTTCAAAAGAACCCTTCTGTCAAAAAAAAAAAAAAAAGAAAAAAAAAGGGGGGGGGTCCAGAATTTCTTCCCCTGCCTTCCTGAGATATTCTACTCCTGTGCTTTGAAGGTTTATAGGATACAAGGATAATCATATTGAGTTGGTATTCTGCACCATATCTGCAGTGCACTCTCTCTCTGCTGCTGCTGCATTGAGCATCTACTAATAGGTAGAGGAACGTGATTCCTGGGTGCCTTCAGATAAAGTAGCGCTGCCAGCCCTGGGGAAGAAAGAAATTGTTTGATATCAGTGGATCAAGCTACTTCTCTATGCCTGTCCTATGCCCTCTGGTCTTCCTTCATATTTCTTCCTAAGAATCTGCCTTTTCCAGGAAGATCTTTTGCACAACCCCATAGCCTTCATTCCTTACAAGGCTTCCATATTCTCTTTCTGTTCAATCTCCCTTCTCTCTGTTGCCTCCTCTGTTTTTACGTACTAGTTTAATTGAGTCAAAGTGCTGGTTATGATCCATACGGTTCAGGTTCAGGTTATCGAAAGAACTGGATTTCCCTCCTATGTGCTGTCTGTGTTTGGAGATCTTCTCGAGAGGCTTTTCTCTCTACCCTACCACCCTCATAGTTACATATGGTGGAAACAGGTGAGAGGGCCTTCTTGGTGGCTACTCCCAGGCTCTATTATTCTAATATATATATTTTAACCCTAGTCTCCAGAGTCATAGCCCAACACTGAAACGATTATGCTACACTGGCTCCCATACATACATACATACATATATATGGGAGCCAGTGTAGTGTAGTGGTTTGAGCATTGGACTATGACTCTGGAGGTCAGGGTTCAAATTCCAGCTTGCCCATGTAAACCTATGGGGTGACCTTGGGCAAGTCACATTCTCTCAGCCTCAGAGGATCACAATGTCAAGCCCCTTCTGAAGAAACCTGCCAAGAAACCTCCATGATAGAGTCACCTTAGGGTTACCATAAGTCGGAAATGACTTGACTATACATAACAACTGCACACACACACATACAAGTAGAGTGCAAAGAATCTCAAAATGCATAAAATCAACACAGCAAGGAATTTACAGGTAACACAACCCAGATTAAAAAAATACTGGCTCATTGGCCATTTTTTCCACACCCCTGAATGAAATCCATGAAAACAATGAAGGTGATTTGTACATGCACCAAACTGAGCACTTTCCCCTGAGAAAGCATGCGCAAAAAGGGGACAGGACAGATTATGTGTTGTAAAACCAAAAAGAGGATAAGAGCAGGCATAGACTAAACATAGAGCTGGGGAAGGGATGAAGCCCATCACTGTGGCCTTAGCAGTGATGCCCACCCTTAAAAAACTTGCATGATGCCTTGCTCATATGTTAGAGTTATTCACATCTTAGATGAGGCTCCGTATCTGAAGACAAGTCCAGGAAGTCTGCCAGCTGTTGCTTGACGCTGGCCACTTTTGTGCGAGTGATGCTCAGATGAAAGCCACAGGACACATCACATGGATATACTCATGTGCAAATGAGCTGCCACTTTCTGGCAGTGCCAAAGTGCTCCCATAGGTGGCCCTCGGGGTGTCATAAAGGAACCCACTTTCTAGACCAGGACAAAATGTTGGCTTGACCATCTTTGAACACCAAAACCAGCTCTTTCCTTTCTTCCCACCTGTGTTTGTTAAAAGGGACGCAATCAACAAACCATTGAACTGCAGAAGGAGGAGAGAGCGATTCACCAACAGCATCTGTGTTATTGTGTGTTGGTGTGTGTGTGTGTGGTTTAAAATTAGCTTTCCCTTTAAATACATTTTTTTCCAGCAAGCCACATAATTGGATTTTCTTTTGTTAAAAGAAGGGAACATAAATTACTCCTGTTGGGTACAGATTAGGTTACTGGATTTCTTTTCTTCTGTCATCGCCGATGCCCCGGTGTCAGAAAGCTTTAATATTTAATGCATTCCTAATTAGTCTCTCTTGGTTTAAGGCACTTAGCAAAACCTGACACTAGCCGTAGAGTCAAGTTCATTTAGGGAAGCAAAATTATCAGACATCATTTCCATATCACAGCCGGCATCATTCCTAGCACACACACGCACACACAGGTCTCTCTGGATGACACATGTGTCTTCCTGCCATGAGTGAATGTTTGTCATAAAGGCAAGGAAGGGATTGGTTTGTACCAACAAGTGGCCCTGGATTCCTTTCCATGTTTTGGGCATTTCCATGTGTTTCTGAGTTTTCTTTAATTGCAAAGCAAAGCTTTTCCAATCAATTTTATCAAAGGAAAACATGACTTTCTCCAATAATTCCAGAGAAATTAGGAGGCCATGGTAGTGAGTCAAGGTCCAACTTTTTTTGAAAGAAATTGCAAGCATTTGTCTAATGTTAGCCCACATATTGACACCTGAATTGGAACAAGATGGAAGCCTTGAGTTCAGCATTTGTACATTCTAATAGAGAAGGTGTCAAGTCATGTCATATTTATAGAGTCATAGAGTTGGAAGAGACCCCAAGAATCATCCAGTCCAACACTTTGCCATGCTGGAAGACACAATCCAAGCACTTCTGACAATTGGCCATCCAACCTCTGTTGAAAAACTTCCAATATTGTGCACATGTTGGTGTCTCTTTCCATTCAACTAAAATTCTTGACCAGATGCTTCTGTTATCTTCCCAGGTCAGGAATCAAAACTCGCCTTCCTCATCCTTCTTCCAGACTCCATGCTGTCAGAAAGCCTTAAACTTTACATGTCAGGGAGGAGAAGACATGCTGGGTGTAGCTCTAAAACTGTGTCAGCTTGTTTTGCTGGGGGAAAGTCCTTGAAAACAAGGGACATTATTCTAAAGAAATGGAAGCATTTGTATGATGTTAGCCTAAGCCAAGCCATATTGGTGTCTCTTTCCCCATCATTAGTATTTTCCCAGATGTCTGTTTGCATATTTACTATTTTGATTGTTGTGATGTGCCTTCAGGTCATCTCCAACTTATGGTGATCATGTCCTAGGGTTTTTCTGGAAAAAAATGTTGAAAGTTATTTTGCCATTTGTTGTGTTGGTGTGCTGACTTGTGCCAGCTCACAAGTCATTATCACTTGCACTTTGTAGCAAATTTCCCAGAAACTATAGGTCTGCTTACTGTTATGTTTTAACTTATACAGACCCATTGAATCAAGGAGATTTACTTACCTGTTGACTCCCAATTCAGCAATTGATCAGATGGGTCTGCTTCCATTGGGACATCAGGCCTATGTAAATTGTTGTTGTGTGCATTCAAGACATTTCTGACTTATGGTGACCCTAAGGCAGCCCTATCATAGGGTGTTCTTGGCATGATGTGTTCAGAGGTGGGTTGCTTTTGACTTTCTCTGAGGCTGAGAGTGCATGACTAGGTCATGGTCAAGCAATGGCTTCCCATGGTTGAGCAGGGCTTTGAACCTGGATCCAGATTCATAGTCCAATGCTCAAACCACTACACCACACTGGCTCTCAGAGTTTGTCATTGCTTTCCTTAAAGAGTGAGAAAGTGTGTCTTGCCCAAAGCCACCCAATGGATTTCCATGGCTGGTCTTACAGAATCCTAGTCCAACACTACACCACACAGGTTCTGTCCTTACTATTCTGCCTCTTACATTTTAATATGTCCTATTATTGAACCAACAACTTGACTTAACAGAGACCACTCCCTTCCAGAACATGCAGTCTTGTGATGCTTTCTAAAACAGATCCTGACTTTTCCAACACAAAAACAAAAAGCAAGGACTACTTGATGTCCAATGTTAGACCTGGTCATGAGCCATCCTTTCTCACCCTTTTTGCCCTTTGCGACAGTCAACATAGGGTTAACTCTGACTCCTACAACGTGCCCCGAGGGCAATCCGGAAGCTTAAACCGCCAACAGTTAATTAAAAATAAACTGACACTTTACATTAAGGATAGTTTTAATAACCATTTATAAATGTTACATTAAAAATTCATGCTCTGTTATCAACCCCTGCTAAGGATTTACAGCACAATGCAAGCGTTATGAATGTTTTATAGATGGTGCAAGGAGAAAAAGAAAGGGAAGAAGAGATAGAGAGAGAAAAAAGATCTTTCTAAACAGATATTTTCAGAGATCTATTTGTTTTCCCTGGGCCACATTTTAAGTGCCTGAGACAACAGCCGCAAATACAAACTCCTTGCAAGAGTTTTATTCCAAGCCTAAATTTAGATGCCAGGCTGGCAGAAGAAGACCACACACTTGTACATCAGTTGGTATGACATATCTCTGTGGTGGATGCCCATAACTCTTCATAAATTTCAGTGTGGGGACCCAAAAATATTTCAAGGTTTTGGCCTGACTGTTAACCCCCCATCAAGGAGATTCTTTGAATAATTCAGAGTTACCTTCATATTGACTCACTATTCAATGGTGCTACTGCCATTGGGAACTCACTTATAGGATTGGGTCTGAAATATGAAGTCAATGAAAGGAAGATCCTCATTCCTCCAATGTATTTCAAAGGAGGATGGCCTTAGCTGGAAGAGGGCTATAAACCTGGCACATGGCTCTCCCATCCCTCATCTTGTTGCCTCCCATCATCTACTCTTCTCTAGCTCTTCTTTATGTCTGCTTAGCCCCATTCAGCTTGGACCAACTTCTTCAGTGGTAAACCTCCTGAGTTTCTAGTCAACTCCTATGCAACGTGATCAGCCCATATCAAAGCCAATACCAAAAATATTGAAGCAAAGCGGTGTGTCAATATAGTATTCCTCACTCCGATATGCGGCTGTCCCAGTTTCATTGTTTCCCTCCTCTCTGTAAGTGGATTGTTCATTCACCCAAATCTCCCTGAAGCATTTTTAATCTAATATTCTCTGTCGCTGGAAGGTGAGGGTCACCTATGAACATTTCTTTTTTCATAAGGAAGAGAGGGAGAGGGAGAAGGAAAAAAAAAAAGAAAGTTAATAATGCAAACAAACCTAGGAAAATAACCTGCTACTGAAACTTACCGGAGAAAGTTGATGGAGGAAATGCTGATATGATGAGCTGATAAGTTCAGGGATCTGTCTCCCCCTGCTGGTGATTGTCTCTCTTGTTTCTCTGACACAGCTTAAGATAAAAACTATTTTACCTCCTGCAAGGTTTATCTCGGCCTCTGAACTCAACAGGCTGCATTTAAGAAAGAGGCACAAGCTGATGATTTTTCTGAAGCAAAGGGAAGGGGGAAATATATTGTCAGGGTATGCCAGGGGTTTTGCATGTTGAGTTCTAGACTCTGAGCTACAAAGTTGATTTAAATGCAGAGTGATGTTTCCAGCCAAACTCACTACCCTGACATGGTTTATCCCCATGCAATAGAAAGATATTGGTTGGAATTCAGTATTGCAGTTACAGCTTGGTAACCTAAAGTTATGAATCTGGTTGTTGTTGTTGTTGTTGTTGTGTGCCTACAAGCTATTTTTGACTTATGGTGTCCCTAAGGTGAACCTATCATGGGGTTTTCTTGGCAAGATTTGTTCAGAGGAGGTTTGCCATTGCCTTCTTCTGAGGCTGAGAGTGTGTGATTTGTCCAAGGTCATCCAGTATGTTCTTATGGTGGAGTGGAGATTTGAACCGTGGTCTCCAGAGTCCTGGTCTCCAGAATCGTAGTCTAACCTTCAACCTTCTGCTCTAGCAGTATGCCAGTACCCAGGTTTTCCCAAATCCCTTTTTACTCCTCCCACCTCTTTCACACGGAGCTGACTTACCTATTGTGCCACCATGCTTTCTAGTGCTCTTACTGACCATTTGCACAACAGGATAGGAATTGATTCCTCCATCAGAACTGAAATCCCCCTGCTCCTCTCCCCAAGGGATCTCCTTTCTCTGTATTAATGCTGTCCAATGTTGCTTGTGAACTGGACAAGGAAATTATAGCCAGATTGTCTCTGACAGTGGCTGCAAGCCATTAGTACTCCATTGACCTCCTTAACTCAAATCATTGGGTCTCCCCCCCTCCAACTCCCCCTCTCACTTTCTCTCTCTTTAAATTCATGACACATCAACAGGAAGCTTAAGTGTCAGGCTTAATTTTAACATTTCCTGGCACTCTGCGGCTTGTGCAGCTCACAATCCATGCCTTATTTTGGAGACAATTTGTGTATTTATAATTAATATGGATTAGATATTATTATCCAGGCAATATGGCAGGCAGGCAGTTAGAGAGGATAACAGCTGTTCAATAATGCAAATGATGCACATATAAATTACATTTTAGCAATGGGGTATTATTACCCAGACGGATGAAAGTTCAAGACCCTCGGGCAGTTGAATTAAAAATCACCACAGAGCGGACGTTCGCTCTCCAGACAGACGTGGGAGAGCGATGGCCGTGATGTCAATTCCTCTTGGGGGCTCTCCTGGTTCACTGGTCAGGAGGACACATGGTGTTGACATTGGTGGCCTGATGTTTGGAAGCAACAGACAGAGAATAATAAGCTGGTGTTTTGGATAAAGCGTGCTTTCCGACAGTGCAAGGATAACATATACGTTCTCCAGCATTCAATATAGTGATATGTCCCTATGGGCTCTAAGGCAAAAGTGGGCAAAGTGCAGTGTACGGGCTACATGTGACCCATTTGTTAACTGCCCTCGAGTCGATCTCGACCCATGGAGACCCTATGGATGAGACATCCATACACGATGATGGGGAATACAATGGCTTGAACAATTCTAACGTTAATGTTCAGTTGTATATCTTTACTACTTAGGATTTTGTCTAGTTCTTTTGTAGCTGCCTTTCCCATTCTTTGTCTTCATCTGTTTTCTTGACTGCAGTCTTTGTTCTGATCAATGTTTGATCCAAGGTGTGAGAATTATTTAACTATTTTGGTATCCTCATTATCTAGGTTGAATTTATGGAGATCACTCATGGTCATTATTTTTGTTTGCTTCATGTTCAGCAACAAGCCAGCCTTTGCACTTTCTTTCTTGACCTTCCTTAGTAATTGTTCCAAGTCCATGATGTTTTCTGATAGTTGTGTGGTGTCACCCACACAGCTATGATTGTTGATGCTCCTTTCTCCTGTCTTCACTCCTCCTTCTTCTGAATCTAAACCTGCTCTTCATGATATTTTCTGCCTACAAATTGAACAGGTAGGGTAGTAGAAAGTATCCTTGCCTCAATATGGCATATGAAATAAGAGTGGAGAAAGAACGCTTATTCTGAGCCAAACCATTGGCCCATCTACATCAGTATTGTCAGCATGGATTGTCCACAGCAGATCTTCAAAGTTTCAGGACCTGATATTCCTAACCCTACTTGGAGAAGTTAGAAATTGAATCTGGGGCCTTTGGGATCCAAAATCTCTACTCTAGCACTGCATCACAAACTTTCTTTCTGCTACCATAGCCATGATATAAGTTATTTATTATTATTATTCATTTCTGGACTACTCTGTGTGTACAATCTCTCTCCAGGGGGTTGAAACCAACAATCTCGCTGTTATCTCCTGGGAGCCAGGCAAAGACCATTTTTTAAAATACATACACACACCGATGGATTTCTGGCTTTTAGTGTTATTTGAACTTGTTTGTGCTGCTGTTTTTTGTTTGCTTGTTAGCTAGTACTTTGTTCCATGATGGCATTTTCCCTCTATTGTTGTGCTGTTGATTTTGCTTGAAATGTGCAGAGCACTGAGAAAATTGATGCTGAAGGACAAAATACACATATTAATGAATACAACAAAATAAGACTTGTAGAGCATGGAACCAGGATAGACTATTGGTCCTTCCCTTCCTGGGATAGACAACTTTGGAAGGGTTGACAGACAAATTATGGCCTCTGCGCTCCACCACGGGCCACATCAGCCCTGGAAAGGCTTAATAGCTAGAATGAAAGCAAACCAGAAATGAACAGAGACCCACTTCTCACTTTGTTTGTTTGTTTGTTTGGAAACAGGGAGTGGGCTTTGGGATGGTTACAGTCTCCAATGCAATACCCACCACTCCTGAAAGTCTCTGGAAGTGGTGGAAAACCATGTTCATGATAATTTATTGTGCTGCCTGGACATATAATAATAATAATAATAATAATAATAATAATAATAATAATAATAATAATAATAATAATGTTTATTTAATACCCCGCCCCTCTGAGCACAATATTGGAAGAGCTATCTTCTTGTCTGGGGCCACATGCACCCCATCAACCATACTTTGCCCATCTCTAATCTGGACAAATTAAGCTCTTCGGAAAGTTACATTTGGAGCTTTATTGTTAGTAGCTGTTAGTGGGACCTTCAAGATGCCCTGCTATGAACAGTTCTGCTCAGGTCTTGCAAGCTCAGGGCCATTGACTCTTATTTAGTCAATCAACCTGTACTGCAGTCTTCTTCTTTTCCTACTGACTTCCACCTTACCAAGCATTGCCATCTTGATTAAGAAATTATATCATCTCATGACAGCCGCAGTTTAGTCATGTTGCTTTCTAGGAGAGTTCACACTTGATTTGGCTTTGTATCCATTTATTTTTGGGCAATTTCTGAAAATCATTTTGGTCATCTTTTGGGACATTTTTTTTTTGTATGCCTTCAAGTCATTCCTGACTTATGGTGACTCTATCACAGGGTTTTCTGAGAGCTGAGAGTGTGTGACTTGCCCAAGGGCACCCAGTGGGTTTTCATGGCTGAGCAAGGATTCCAACCCTGGTCTCCAGAGTCACAGTCCAATGCTCAAACCACTACACATGCTGGCCCCTTTTGGGATTCCTGATCCCTAAATCTCCTAGTTGCCAGGTTGCTGTGGGAGTTTGAACATTTTAGTCCAAAAAGTGGCAACTTTCCCAAGCCATGCCCATTGTTTTATCCTCTTACTGGCCATAGTCCAATAATCTTCCCTATAAGCTGCTTAGTTAGAAGTGATAAAGGTTAAACCTTATATCTTGCAAACCTACCAATGACAGGCTTCCATAGGATGGCATTACAGCATTTAAAGTGGTGTTAAAATGCATTATTTCTGCAGTGTAGATGCACCTCTGAATTTGCAGCCTGTTCCTGCTCAGAGCAATGCCATTCTACGAAAGCAGCCCCAGGTAGTCATCTCCCTAGGATTCTTAACCGACCTATTCCTTTCCAATGCCTTATAGATCCATTTGAAAGGAAGCTTTCCTCCACCTCTCCTCTGCTATATTTCTGCCTAAGCTGACATGTCGAATGCTGGAGAAGAAGCCACGGCTTCTCACGCGTGCAGTAAATAAGGCTGAGATTACCGATGGTGTGCAATGGGACTGACTATTGCATTATTTAATCTGCTGGGTGGGCCATTCATTAAAACAGATATCCAGGGCTTTAATCATGATGCCAAGCTGCCATCTGCCTCCGCTGTGCTCCCTCTTGGCTTAGGCCCGGGCTCAATATATGAGGGGACAGCTTGCAAGAGACACGACAGCGTCGGCGTCATAATTCATCTTCTGAGCACGGGTGGCGCAAGCTGTTTGGCGCTGACGAATTTCTGCCATCTGAACATGCGCTTCCGATTACGGCTGCTCATGCAGGCAATTAGAGTTTGGATAGGGCTAGGGGCAGAGTCCCAATTTCTGCAGGGTTGATGGAGACAGAGCCAGTTTGGGGGAATGGTTTGAGTGTTAGACTATGAATCTGGAGACCAGGGTTCGAATCCCTGGCTTGAGATTTCCTGACTCAGACATGGAAACCCACTGGGTGACCTTGGGCCTTGAGACCTCACACTCTCTCAGCTTCAGAGGATGGCAAGGGCAAACCCCTTCTGAAGAAATGTGCCATGAAAACCCCATGATAGGTTCACCTTAGGGTCAACATAAGCCAGAAGGGACTTGAAGGCACACAACAACAACAACAACTGGAGCCTAACAGTGAAAATAGAAGTGCAGCACACACCACTAACAGGCCTTTAGGAATGGCTGGTTCAAGAGCCAAAGGCCTGTCTAAGGCTTTCTGGTAGAAGGAGGTCAACCTAGCTTGGTCCCCTCTGAGGACCTGAAGGCTTCACCAAGTTCATATAGGTCAATATGGTGTTGAAGATAATCTAGACCAGTGATTTCCAGACTCTGGCCTTCCAGGTGTTTTGGACTTCAGCTCCCAGAATCTCAGACCATTGGCCAAGATGGCTGGAGCTTCTGGGAACTGAAGTCCAAAACATCCGGATAACCAGAGTTTGGGAATCACTGGTCTAGATCCAAGCTATATAGAGCTCTATACAGCATGACTAGTATTTTGCATTCCATGTCAAGTGAAAAACATATATTGATTGTGTATTCCTGCATGGCAGGGGGTTGAACTTGATGACCTTTGAGGTCTCTTCCAACTTTATGATTCTATATAGAAGGTAAGATACCCGCTCCTTTTTTAAAACCTCATCCTTCCAAGATGTTAAGTGAACACTCCTATTAGCCCACCCAACAGAATACAATAAATGCTATCTTGGGGTTTTCTTGGCAAGATTTGTTCAATGGGGATTAACCTTGCCTTCCTCTGAGGCTGAGAGAGTGAGATTTGACCAGGGTTATCCAACAGTTTTCCATGGCCGAGTGGGCATTCAAACCCTGCTTTCCAAAGTTCATCATCCAGTAGTCAAACCACTACACTGCACTGACTCTCCTATGTGACTATGATAACAATGTGGCAGAAATATGGTATTGATCCCTGGCACATTGGGAGAACCTAATTGTTGGTCCACCTAAACATCAAGTTTGAGAAGCATCAGTCCACAACATATGGTATTTTCCTAGCTGATAGGTTAAGCAACAGCATTTAAACGTGATGGATGCAAAGATGAAAGAAAGATCAGGCAACCCAGGTGAGACTGTTGTCCCAGCAAGAACTCTGCTTTTAAACAGCTGGGGCTTCCAAACACTGATGCTTTTTGCAACTGTAAGAGAGTCTTGTTAAATGGAGGTCACAGCAGGGCCCTGGTATTATATATATATGTCACTCCGTTTTTCTGCAACCATTTGAAGGGGTTTTAAGGAGCCCTTAATTAGAGTTGATGAATTTTCTAGGATGGGGGAGACTGAAGGTTTTTCCTAAATGAGGGAAGCCATCTCTGTATCATCCACGAGTGGCGAAAAGGTTCATTGGAGCATCTTCTTGAAATGGCTCCATCATGTAAGTGATGCAGACAGTGTCATGAGCCACTGTTTAGCACCAGGTGAATGAGGTCCCAATGACTGCCTCAAAGCATCCATTCCAGAAAAAGGAGAGAGTTTTTGATGGTGCACAGCACAACCCAATATTAGTCACTGGAATCAAGTGTGTGCATTGGCCTGCTTCCAAAGACTCCTAGAGTTGGAAGACTACCCCCCCTCCCCTGTAAGATCATCCAATCTAACCCCCTGAGATCATAGAATCATAGAGTTGGAAGAGACCACAAGGGCCATCCAGATGCAAGAATTCAGAGTCAAAGTACCCCAACAGATATCTCTTTTTAAAAACTTATAAGGTACTGGTATGGAATATGGTTTGCCCCCCATTGCCCCTGCACCAAGGAAAGTTGGGGGGAAAGGAGAAGGTGGTGGTGATGAGAAAAGGAAGACAAAGTCAGTAGCAGGAGATAGAGGTCAACTCTGAACCCACAGATCCCATGGATGTTTAATTTTAAGGGGTCCTCCAAACTAAGGCACTATGGGAGAGGTGGCATGGAAATCACCTGGGTTTTTTTGGGTGCTGAGTTGGAGATCTAGGGGGGATTTGGGGAGCTCCTGTGTGCCATAGCCCCCCAAGTCTGTATACTGACAAGGAGCAAAAGAAGAGCAAAATTTGTTCTCCATTTGCCATCTCTTTGAAAACCGAGACCAGTCTATCAATGGTGATTTTTGGAGGGTGGCAGAGAAGGCTGCAATGCCATTGGAAGCGTCATTTCAATTGCCACCAAAATGTCAAATCTAAGCCACTGTCTTAGATCGGTTGCTAAATAATCTTCTATTGTACAAGGTGAATCTCTTATCTGAAATGTTTGGGACCAGGAGTGTTTTGATTTTGGAATTTTTCAGATGTTGGAATATTTGCATATAAAGTGGTCCCTTGGTCTCCACTAGGATTTGGTGCCAGGACCTCCCATGGATACCAAAATCTGTGGATGCTCAAGTCCCATTAAATACAACGACATAAGAAAATGATGTTCCTTATTTAAAATCAAGCTTTGCTTTTTGGAATATCTATATCTATTAATATTCATATTTTCAAGCCATTGATAGTTGACTCTGTCGATAAAGAATCCATGGATACAGAGGACTAATTGTACATAATGAGATACCTTGGAGATGGGACCCAAATCTAAACATTACATTCATTTATGTTTCATATACACCTTATGCATAGGGCCTAAAGGTAATTTTAAACACAATATATATATTTTTAAAATAATTGTGTGTGTGAAACAAAGTCTGTGTACAATGACCCATCAGAAAGCTAAAGTGTCACTATCTTAGTCACCCCTGTTGACAAATTTGGAATTTGGAATATTTTGAATTTTGGAGTTCTGGTCAAGGGAGATTCATCCTGTACTAAGCTTTGGGGCAAGGTTATGATATATAAATTGATACAAAATAAAGTTATCTTCCTATAATTTTGGAGGCTTCTCACAAAGGGCCATTGCAAAGTGAGCAGGGGAGGGGGATAAATTAGGAGAAGAGAGAAGGAGGGAAAAAAGGGAAAAGCAGATGCTATTCAGCTTGGCAGGAGGGGGAAAAATGGACAATTAGAGAGGGATTTAATTGACAATGCTTTAGATAAAGTCAAGAGATGTTTCTATTCTCAGCCCAAGTGGGGAGTGAAGTGGCAAAGAGACTCAATGTAGAAATTAAAGGGATAACCATTCAGCACTTTCACAGAGAAAATCTTTCCCTTTTCTTCACAGAGAATTGAGACTGTGTGTGAAGGGGAAAAAAACCCAGCAGGGGAAATTCTCAAGATATGCTTCCATTAGGGGCGGCCAGGAAATAATTAACCGGCTTCCTAAGTGTGTGTGTGTGTATGTTTGTGTAAAAGAAGGGTTTGGATGTCTGATGGGGTAAAGGAAGAAAAGATAAGAGGCTAATACAAGAAAGGAGTGTGGTGGGCTTGTAGATCTGTAATTTATTTGTTTTCCCCACTATGCATCCCCTTCCCCTTGCAAAACAAAAAAATGGGGGGGGGCACATACAAGCAGTTCCTTTCAGAGCCATACATTTCCTGCACTAAACTGAAATCTTACAGGTACTTAGAAATCTGGAGAATAAAGGTGTGGTGCAATGGTTCAATGAGATGTGTGGTGTAGTAGTTTGTTTTGGACTCTGAGCAGGGTTTGAATCTTGGCTCGGCCATGGAAGCATACTGGGTATCCCCTAGGCAAGTTACATGCTCTCAGCTTCAGAAGATGGCAATGGCAAGCCTGCATAGAAAACCCCATGATAAGTCAACTCCATAAGTCAGAAATGATTTGAAGGCACACAGCAACAAGAAGAACGTAGTGGTTTGAGCGTAGGACTAGGACCCTGGTGATTGGAGTTCAGTTCCCTGCTCAGCCATGGAAACCCCAAGGTGACCCAGGAGAGAGTCGCACCCTGTCACCCCCCCAAAAAAACATGATAGGTCCACTTTAGGGTCACCATAAGCCAGAAATGACTTGAAGGCACACAACAACTACAACAAAGGTGGAGAACCTCTTTTAGTCAGAATGAAGGGGTCCAAATTCAATTTCAAAGAAAGTTCTCAGGGGGCACATTGTAGGGATCATCGAGCCCACAGTCACCAGGATATTTTAGTTCAAAG